TCCAGCCCTCACGCCGCTCATGCTGGCTAAACAAACATGGGACACAGGTAGCAAGTTTCCTGCTCTTTTCTACCCACAGCTACTACAAAGTAAAATGTCTCCCACTGCCATTAATGAGAATCTATATTTCAGGTATAAATACCCTGTTTCCCCCATTTAAAAAATATATATTTTATTGATTTTTTACAGAGAAGAAGAGAGAGGGATAGAGAGTTAGAAACATCGATGAGAAAGAGTCATCGACCAGCTGCCTCTTGCACACCCCCTTCTGGGGATATGCCCGCAACCAAGGTACATGCCCTTGACCGGAATCGAACCTGGGACCTTTCAGTCCGCAGACCGATGTTCTATCCACTGGCCAAACCGCTTTGGCTGTTTCCCCATTTTAATACACTTCTGCTTAATCCTTGCCCTGCCCCACCCAACCCTACTGTACCCCATCGCATCCCACCCCACCCCACCCCACTCCACAATTGTTTCAAGCCAACTCTGAGACCAGTCTGAGCTACTCTCTTTCCCATCCTCCAACCAGGAAAAGGGTAAGGAAAAGAAAAACTCAGAAACCTGAAGATTATTTGGAATTTATTCTCTTAAATAAGAATGGTAACATTTGTTAAGAAAAATTAAAAGCACAACACCTTAGTTTCACAGAAACCAGAAAAACAAAGTTACATAACGAAATAAAAAAACTCACAAAGAAACAGCAAAAACTCTCAACAGCACAGATTAAAAACAAGGGCAAAATATAAAGGCTTCAAAGGCCAAAGGTGGAAAGGGTATGGGCTCCTGGGCACAGCTCATCCTTCCTCGCTCAGATTTCTTTGTACCACTGTTGTGAGAACCCCATCTGCTGCTTACTTTTGCACCCCTTCCTCTACCCTGAGCTGAATGGCGGTGGAAAAGGGTACCCATTAATTCACTGGTCATGCGTTCAAGGCCACTCTGGGGCCCTTTTTAGGAGGGACTAAAAATATTCCACTGTCTTACAGAGATACACCGAACACCAAGAGACAGCAGCAAGCTGCAATGACTAGTTTGGTAGAACAAGTACCTAAACCTGAAAGCAAAACAGAGGTTAGGTATGATGTTGGTTCTCTGTGGCATTTCACCAGCAACAGAACCCAGACTTTCCTAGTTTGCTCTCAAATCAATTTCTTGAAGCTGAGAGTGTATACTGTCCATTTTCTGAGCTATAGGTATGCTGGCTACTCTGTCCACTGCCAGTCTGACCAGAACATAAGCCAGGTCAATGACCCAAGGAATAGGAAGCTTTAGAAATAGCTTCATCAATATTGTTATTTTTTAGATTACAATGATCTAAATGTCTATTCATATATATGAAGTTAAACCTATAAAAATAAATAAGTGTATGTAAATAAATATTCATACATCACCATTAACTATGACTCTTGGGGCAGGGTTGGGGTATTAAGCTAGATTGCAAAACCTCTTTGCTCTACTAACAGGTTTTTAAAAAATGTTCCTAAGGGGAAGCATTGAGATTTCCTAATTACCTCCTCCCAGACAGGAGCTCCAAGACTGAACAGAATTCCTTGTGCTAACATGGCAAATCTAGCTGGTATGCAAAGAAATGCCTGCATTTTCTAACGTCCATTCAGCATCTGCATTATGAAACCTAATAGATTATGCAAGGGCTGTCTGGGGACAGGGAGCAGGCACCTGCCATGCGTTATTCTGCTAGGTACCTTTTTAAATTAAGATTACCTTTTCCATAAGATAAGAGACAACTAAATGTTTCTTCCATTTCATCTCTGTTCCTATACTAGAAGAACAGCTCTTTGGTTTCTTGTTATGACACCATAGTTTTTATGCTTTATTTTTGGTTATAGACTACATGAGATATAATTTTTCCTGAAGTCAGGGTAGGTACTCTGAGGAAAGGAATATCTGTGCCAGGTCCACTAATCTGTAGCAGTTAAGAACAAGAAGCTTGGAAACAAAGCAGCTAAGATTTGAGAACAGAAAGGAGGGTTTTTTTTTTTTTTTTGGTATTAAAAGCACTTAACAAAAATAATGTGAACAATGTCTTCCAAATACTAAATCAGGTAGCAGTTATAGACTAGGTTACTAGAGAAAGATAACCCTGAAGGGCAGACCTACAGTGAGTCTTTTAACTTGTGGGTTGTTTTTGTTTTTTTGGCAATAGTAGTAATTTTGGCATGAGGGGAAAGGAACATAAGGAAAAGGAGACCAATGACACAAAATAAAGAGAAGGCACAAAGTAAAAGCACAGCATGGTCATGTGTCAGCTACAGTTATAACTTTTTAGACTCTGACCTCTGAGTATATGAGTCTAGGAGGATGGTTTATTTGGACATGGCAGAATCAAGTTCATTCAGTTATAGTCTTTTCTTGTTTAGAGTACTGCAGAGAATATCTACCATGGATATGGATTAATGTCTGCTACCTATGATATACATTTGATACAACTAAAACTCCTGAGTTTTTCTGAAGCCTTTCGAAAGAAAATTCTAGTTAACCAATCAATGCTTAAGTTGGGATATAAAAAAGGAAATCCCTATCAGAGGAGAGGGGAAAAAAGTCTCTTTCATGGCGACTATAAAAGACCACTCATGATTCTGCTCCTTTTCTACAGAGGCTAGCAAAATTAGGCACTGCTGCTTTGGAACATGTTCAGACTCAGAGCTGTGATTTCCAAAAGCTCATGTCTCCAGAGGCAGATACTAACTGCATCTCGTCAGCACTAAGTTCTGGCCTTCTTACCACCTAGAGAGTCCCTTAAATTGGGGACAGTGCCTGCCTCGTTCCTTGAGATGCCACATCTTGAACCCCTTGAGTTGTAACAGGCAAGTTACCTTTAGAATCAAGAACCATGGGGATTGATTTTTTCCTCAGGGCTTGCTTTTTTTTTTTTTTTTTTTTTAATATATAATATATTTTTATTGATTTCAGAGAGGAAGGGAGAGAGAGATAAAAACATCAGTAATGAAAGAGAATCATTGATTGCCTCCCGCATGCTCCCTATTGGGGATCAAACCAGCAACCCAGGCAAGTGCCCTTGATCGGAATCAAACCTGGGACCCTTCAGTCTGTAGGCCAATGCTCTATCCACTAAGCAAAATCGGCTATGGCAGAGCTTTAATTCTTTAACCATATTGCAAACTCTCTACTTTTTTTTTTCTTATCAAGACCTGGGGATGGGGGTGGGGGTCACTTTGCAAAGGATACGACTGCCTAATCATCTCTCGTCTTCTCTCCCTGCTTTGTATTCTTCCCTTAATTCTTTATAATACAAACTAGACAATAAAATGCTTTCGAACTAGAAAATAAAATGGCAAACTGAACCACTAGGGAAAGTGAATAAATGTAACTTTCTCAGGAACAACCTGAACTTCATGGTGTTTATTAATTTTAAAGAATGTTCTGTACTCTATACCCAAAAAGAAAGTTTAATTTCCTTGAATTGTTTTACTGAGAAGCCAGGTTCTTTGGAAAATCCATCTCTGCTGGAATGAGACCTGGTTAAATGCACATTCTAGAGTGCAGAGCCCAAACCTCTGTTTGGATCCTTTTGGTTATTTTTCTCTTCCAGTGCTTCCCCATATTCTGCAAAGGGCTATCAGCACTTCATGAAAGAGATAAAGGGTTTTAAGGCTTAGAAGGTTTCAATATAGAAGGCTATATTCATGACTTAAACTTTGCTATCAACTGTTGGTACAATCTGCAGGGCACTTAAAAAAGTTTCCCCAGATTATAATAAGGGCACACATAGTAGAAGGAGCCAAGCTCACCTAGCTCAGTTGGGGTATCCTGAGTCTTAGCCTCCGGATCACCTCACCAGGGGTATCACATACCCTCCAGCATATTCTCTCTCCCAGAACAAATGAGGTTCACATTAGTTCTTACACACAGAAAAAGAAGCAACCCAGGGAACCTTTTATTTGAAGGTTGAGTGGGTAATTCTTGTCTTCTTAGTTTCTGGCATTAGCTAATCATCTTAGTTTTTATATGATAATTTTTAAGAGTTTGTAAATGGATGCTTTAGACATATTTATTTGAATAGGATGAAATGTGTGATAAACAAAAACATGGCACTGTTGACTTCCTTCCTTTCTTACACAGTGACTTGGCCTATAAATAATCTGGGCTGTACTAAGGACATCAACTTATGGAACTATGGACATATCTTACAGGCTGGTTTGACATGGAGTAGATAAATATATAGATAGGCAATTTTAAGGGAGGAAAACACAATTCTTCAAAATGAACCAAGTCCTGCCCTGCAAAGATCAGAATGTGTTTTTAGAGGATGGTATCATTTACCTCCTGACACAAGGAAATGGTTCGTAAGAGTGGGACAAATTAGGGCTTGATCCTCATTAGAAGTACAAATGCCCCAAAATGATCAGGACAGGGCATATCCTTTAATGGTTATAGGTCAAATAGAAGAGAAGTATCAGTTCATCTAGATACCTAAATAGGGAATGGGATGCAAGAATTTCAAGTCCAAGAGAACATAAATCCAGATAATGGGCCTTATCAAACTCAGTGCTATGTCAAGAGTCCCAAACTGGAGCTATAAGAGGGCCTTATAATTCTCGATTATCACCTGGGTCAATGACAAAAACAGCTTCTTTAGAATTCCTGTTTATCTAGATAGAGCCTAGAGCAACCACCTTCATGTGTTTGATGGTCACAAGACTAGAGCAATACTTGTGAAATACTGAGTAAATATTATGAAGCTTGGGTAATAATGCTTACCAGATGAGGCCCCTACTGGCCCACGGTTTGCCAGTAAAACTCCCCTCTGATTTGTACCAGCACCTCTGACAGGCCATAGAGAAAGGGGACTCCGAATGCAAGCAGCTGGCACATGAAAAAGGAGTCCAAAGGGTTTTGGGCCACCTGATGGCCAATTGAAGAAATGTTGCTTTGGAGGTGTTGGCTCATCTCCCTGGCCTTGTCACAGAGGCCAAGAGAGTGACGTGCCACCCAGCCAAACAAGGAAGTGAGGCTACCTGGAGTTCTATCAGCAGGGTTGGTGACGGTACTGGCTTGTCCATTTGTGTCTGCATTGAGGCCATCTTGCAGGGGTCCTCTGGCATCCTAAGAACGTCAAAAAGAAAAATAAGAGTGACTGACTGAACCACTCGAAAATCAGGAGGCAATGACATCCCAACTAGTTATTGCTCTTACCTTTAACCCAGAGCTATATTCCACACAAAGTAAGTCTTTCTTTAAAAAAAAAAGGACATATTTCACATGGAAGTTATGAGTAGTCAAAGTCTAGCTCCACCCAAGTATAACTTTTCCTACAAGTCCTTCTTCAGTCAACAGGAGCCTCTCAAGTAAGAATTAGCTAGCCTGTTCCCTGACAAGGAGACATCATGGAGAAAAGATGGAGGGAGGAGCTAGTTACTCTCATTAAAAAAAAAAAAAAAAAAAAAAAAAAAAAAAAAAAGAGAAGGAAAAAGGTACTTAGATAAATTATTCACATAAGAAAGAAACTGAAAGGAATTGGCAGTCAGAGCAGATTATTTACAACTAAGTTCATTTTTAGGCTGTCCTTTTCTCAGAGAGATGCTTGTTTACAAAGGTAAAAGTCTTTTATACAGAGTGAACAGAAGGGAAGGTCTGACACAGTATTCTAAATCCAACTCAGGTGGTGGATAGAACATTACTTCAGTGAAATGCAGCATTAGATTAGGCTTGAAAAGTTGGTTCCCTCTCCGAAACGGACTATGACCACCTCTCAAGCAAGCCTTTCCTATTCACAGGAAAGGCAATTCAGTGGCCATTCAGCAGGCTCTGCTGGCTACACACTGACCTGTCATGACACTGAAATACATAGTACTTGCTGCTTCTCCCCAAGCAGAAATGGATTACCATTACCTTTCCAGACAAAGAAGTCACTGCTGGTCTCTTCCTCTGTGCAGAGCTGGAGAGTCGGTAACAGTAGTGTGGTTTGCAGTAGAATTTACCTGCAGGCAGCAAGAGGCAGAGGAAAGGGGAATGAGCATAACTCTATAATTCTGAACTTTACTTCCTAGTCTTGGCACATTCTCTTCCATCTCCTCAAGCCCTGAGCATCATCACCACCCTAGCCTTTTCCAGGTTCAGGCTTCTTGTAAAACTTTGTTTTCAGCCATTCTCTCCCATTTATCCTTTGGATATGTGAAGGCCATTGAGCCATTAGCCAATCAGTGCCCAGAACAAAGATGTAAGGTTTACATGGCAGAGCCAGGAAACAAAGTGGCAGTGTATGCAGAACAAAGATATGGTCACATGAAAAGCTGGGAATAACATTTATGGGGAAACCAAGAATGAATTCAAATGTAGGGTGGAGGTGTGGAGGCTGCAGGGGTGGGGCAGCACTGAATGTTAGTTAACTCAGACAGAACTCCTCTGCTGTCCCTTGTCAGCACTGGTTAGACTGCAACTTATGACCCCTTAGTGGCTTAGGATCAGCATTTAGAAACAATACAATGCAAAACCAAACAAACAAACAAAAAAATTCCAAAATGGACTATAAATAAAATGAAACAAAATACATAGAATAAAAAGCATTAGAGTGGTACATAATCAGAATTAAGTATTATTTCTTGCAACTTTAATCTGTGACTACATTTGTTTACTGGGTCCTAATATAACATGTATTTGTTAGAGTGGGCATGGTCAAAATGATGAACAACTACTGATCTTGGCTTTTCCCATTACACTAGTGGTGATTAAGTCACAAAGGGTCTTTTTTTTTTTTTTTTTTTTTTAAATTAAAGGGTAGATCTTATTATACAGACTGTTGAAACAGGAGAAATCCCACTCATTCTTCTCATTTGTATAAAGTGCTCTTTCGAGAAATGAACGTTTCCATTCTCAAAGTTAAAATAAGAGAACCTAACCTGAAAAACAATAGAAAAGATCAATAAAACTAAGAACTGTTTTTTAAAAAGAAAAACTGATAAACCTTAACTAGACTAATTCAGAAAAACAGAGAACCCAATTTAATATAATCAGAATCCAAAAAGGATATATTACAAATGATATCACAGAAATACAAAAGATCATGAGAAACTACTATGAATAATTAATTATATGCTAACAGGCTAGATAACCTAGAAGAGATGAATAAACTCCTAGAAACATTCAATCTATTACTAAGAGTAAATCATGAAGAAACAGAAAATTTGAATAGACCAATATCAAATGGAAAATTTGAATAGACCAATATCAATAAATTCAGTAATCAAAATCCTCCCTAAGTATAAAAGCCCAGGACCAGATAAATAGTTTCATTGGTAAATTATACTAAACATTTAAAGAAGAATTAACAGCAATACTTCTCAAACTCTCCCAAAAAACTGAACAGGGGGTAGCACTCCCAAATTCATTTTACAATGCCAGTATTACCCTGAAACCAAAGCCAGATAAGGTAGCTACAAGAAAAGAAAATTATAGACCAATATCCCTGATTAGCATAGATGCAAAAATTCTCAACAAAGTATTAACAAACAGAATTCAATCACATTAAAAGGATCACTTGGCATAATAAACTGGGGTTTATTCCTGGGATGTAAGGATGATTTAACATTTGCAAATCAATAAATGTGATATAGCACATTAATATAATGAAAGATAAAAAAATCACATGATCATATAAATTGCTACAAAAAAAGTATTTGACAAAATACAACATCCTTTTGTGATAAAAATGCTCAACAAATTCAGTATGGAGGGAACATATCAATACCTCAACATAATAAAGGCCATCTATGATAAGCCCAGAGCTAACATCATGCTCAATGATGAAAAATTGAAAGATTTTTCTCTAAAATAGGAACAAGACAAGAGTGCACACTCTCACCACTCTTATTTAACACCAGAGGCCTGGTGGGGTCCTGAAGGGGGTGGTGGGGTTCCCAGTGGGTGGAGGCTGCCAGGACATGATTGGCCCTCCCAGTGGGCAGTAGGGGATCTGAATTCATCCCCCGGATCCGTTCCCCTAACATTTGTGCTGGATGTCGGGAGCAATCTGGCGACTTATATTGTTTCTTCCTTGCAGAGTGTCTAGAAGGGGGGAGGGGTGTGTGTGTGTGTGTGTGTGTGGAGAGGGGCTGCAGTACCAGAGGCTGACTACCAGGAGTCCTGAAGTACTGCTGGGATTGTAGGCCGCACTGGTCCGTTGGTGCCTGGCCCTTTCTCTGGAGACTGGACCTGCAGGACTACTGAGGAAGTGAGTGGCTGTTGCTGGGCTGGTGGGCTGCTGTGAAGGGTCGGTCAGCTGAGCAGCAAGCACTCCCACTGTGGAAGGACCCTGACCACCGGGGGCAGCTCCTGCACTGAGCAGTTGGCTCTTGGTGGTCAGTGTGCAAGACAGCAACTGGTCATTCTGGTCATTCGGTCATAATGGTCACTTAGGGTTTTATATATTTAACATAGTGTTGGAAGTCCTAGGCAGAGTAATCTGACAATAAAAAAAAATAGAGGGCATCCAAATAGAAAAGGAACAAGCAATATTGTTTTTGTTTGAAGATAATATGTTCTTATATATATAAAATTTTAAAGACTTCACCAATAACCTCTAGGACTAACCAACAAATTCAGTAAAGTTTTAGGATACAAAATCAACATACCGAAAGCTACTGCATTTCTATATGCTAACAACAAAACATCTGAAAAAGAAATAAAACAATCTCATTTAAATAGCATCAAAAACAAAAAGATACTTAGGAATAAATCTAACCAAGGAATGGAAGACCTGTATACCAAAAATAACATGACACTGATTAAAGAAATTAAAGAAGACACAAACAAATGGAAAAGTATACTAAATTAATAGATTAGGATAATTAATATTATTAAAATATCCATAATATCCCAAACAATATATAGGTTCAATGCAATTCCTAAGAAAATACCAATGGCATTTTTCACAGAAATAGAAAAAAAAAATCTTAAAATTTGTATGAAACCACAAAAGAACCTAGTCAAAGCAATCCTGAGAATGAAGAACAAAGCTGGAGCCATAATATTCCCAATTTCAAACTATCTTACATGGGTATAGTAATCAAACACTATGATACTGGCATAAAAATAGGCACACAAGCCAATAGAACAGAGTCAAGAGCCTAGAACTAAGCCCACACATATATAGTCCTATATAATAAATGGGTAGTATGCAAAATGTCCCCTCAACCATAAGTTCTTCTAGGAGTTTGACTAGGGGGCGGGCTGGCCAGGGGGAGGGAGGCTCCAGCTGGTGGCAGTGGCAGGCCCGGTGATGGCAGGCAGAAGGGGGAAGGGAGGCAGTACCCAGCTGGCCACTGTGAGCATTAGGACCCTTACCTGTACTAGTGCATGAATTTCATGCACTGGGCCTCTAGTAAGTAATATTTGACAAGGAAGCTAAAAATAGTCTATCAGGAAAAGAGTGTCTTCAATAAATGATGTTGGAAAAACTGGATAACCACATGTGGAAACATAAAATTGGACATCTATCTTAATCTACTTAATAAACTTAAAATGGGTTAAAGACTTAGTGTAAGACCTGACACTAACTCCTAGAAAAAAACAGGAAAAACTCCTTGGCAGTTTTGAAGGGATTTCCTGGATACGAAAGCAAAAGCACAAGCAAAGAAAGCAAAAATAAACAAGTGGAATTACATTAAACTAAAAACTTCTGCACAGCCAAAGAAACCATCATCAAAATGAAAAAGCAGCCATTAGAATAAGAGAAAATATTTGTCAATTATATATATGACAAGGGGTTAATATATAAAATATGTAAAGAACTAATATAACTCAATAGCAAAAAAATCTAATGACCTAATTAAAAAATGGGCAAAGAAACTAAATATATAGTTTTCCAAAGACATACAAATGGCCAAGAGGTAGATGAAGAGGTGCTCAGTTATCACCAGGGTAATGCAAATCAAATCCATCAGGTATCACCTCACACCTGTTAGAATGGCTGTCAACAAAAGAAATAGTGTTGATGAGAATTTGAAGAAAAGGGGGCCCCTGTGCAGTGGTGTTGGGATTTTAAACTGGTAAAGTCACTATGAAAACAGTATAGAGGTTCTTCAAAAAATGAAAAATAAGACTCATATGATCTAATAATCCCACTTCTGGGTATTTACCTAAAGAAACAGAAGTTAAAATTTTGTAAAGATATCTGCACCCCCAGGTTAATTGCAGCATTAATCACAATAGCCGAGATATGGAAACAAGCTGTGTCCACTGATTGGTGAATGGATAAAGAAGATGTGATTATATACACAATAAAATATTATTATCAATCAAAGAAAACCCTATTTGTTAGGTTTGAAGGAGCAATTGAATCAATATCCCTCCCCCAGAAAATGACTTTTCAGCCATGTCACTTATGGACATTCCCTTTTGCTGAGACCACATTCCATGATCTCTCCCCTCCCAACCTGCACAGAGACTTCTCCACCCAAGAAAAGCCCGTCTAGAGTCCTTTAAAAACCTCTGACTCCCAGTCTTCGGGGCCTGCTGGAGCTCAGCCACTGGGTGTGTGGATGATTGAATAATTTGTAAACCCTCACCATTCTGGTGAATTCCTCCTTCGGCAATCTAACATTTGGTGCCAAAATGCAAGGGGGCTCCATGAGGATGGGGAGCCACTGCCCTAGCTTCAATAACTCTGAGTTTGCTACTCGGAGAGCATTAGGCAGTGGCAGCTAGACCTGGGCTTACCTTTGAATCGTACTCAGGTGATGTGATTGCCAGCCATCATTAGGCATTCCTCCCTATGGATCCTCCCAAACCAGCCATGGAGGACGCAGCATCAGGAACCTCTCCTTCTCCATTGCTGACAATCCATTCCACACCGGCCAATCTTCTCTAGATAAGTGACATTCTACAATTCCCCTTGTCTTTTGCCCACTCTCTCTCTTGCTGACTTCTCAAAAGTCTCTCGTCTCAAAAGTCCTAGCACTAGGCCAGAAGACTCCTCAGCCAT